TTGATCACATCAAGCAAGATTGTTCTTGAAAAAAAAAATGGATATATAAATATGATGAATCATGAAAAAATTTTGATGGTGGTAGAAGATTATAAAGATATCCTCACATTCTCCGAAGGTATTTATAATATTTTTCATGATAGTTGGATATTAGATTTTATATGTGTATTCAAGAAAGGAATATTTTGTTGAGACTAAGAAAAAAAAATATTAGCATCATGTCTTTGAATGGTGTGTCATCTTATAATGTTATAGGTCTTGGAATGGTGAAAATCAAAATATTCGATGGAGTGGTTTATAATTTGGATGATGTGGCTTATGTTTCAAAGATGCATAAGAATTAATTGTAAAAAGTTGATGTCAAGATTGAAAGGGGAAAAAAAACAATATCTTTTTGCTTCTTATCTCTTTTCTAATTTGTTTGAAAATTTGGTGACAATGCTGCTATATGGTAAGATATAGTGAATTTAGATAAAGTTTTCATCTCATGAGATGTAGAGAAATTTAAATCAAGAAAATAAATATAACTCCGTACAAGTATCTAGAGGAGAGTGTTGGAAAAGAAGATCAATTGAAAAGAGATTTTAGAATGTCGCGCCTTAGTTCGCATTTGGCAAAAAAGATATTCAATATTACATGTGCAAAGAATTTGATCACATCAAGTGAGATTGTTCTTGAAAAAATGGATAGATAAATCGATGAATCGTGAAATTTTTTGATGGTGGTAGAAGACTATGAAGATATCCTCATAGTCTCTAAAAGTATTTATAATATTTTTCATGATAGTTAAATATTAGATTTTATACGTGTATTCAAGAAAGGAATATTTTGATGAGAATAAGAAAAAAATAGTAGCTCGCGCCTTTGAATGGTGTGTCGTCTTATAATGTTATGGGTTTTGAAATGGTGAAAATCAAAATATTCGATGGAGTGGTTTATAATTTGGATGACGTGGCTTATGTCTCAAAGATGCATAAGAATCGATATGTTTTAGTCAACTAAACTCTAAATGATACAGTTATCCTACTATAAGTGGAATCTTGAAAGCCACATAAATATGATAACACAATTCGATAAAATGAGAAAATGTGATGGTTTATATCGTTTGATTGGAAAGATAATAACCTCGAGAAAGTGGCTAAAAATAGAATGCATATGATGGTAACTACTCGAAAAGAATCTCTTTGGTGATTGAAAAAGAGATAAGAATTAAGCATTCTCTAGTTTCAAATGAGTGCAAGGGAAACGATCTTGCTCGAGGGAGAGGATAGAATAAGAGCCTTCTCCGGAGTTAATAAGTAAAGTTGACTCATAACAATTGCACATGAGCATTGACCATGTTTTCTTTTAATCAAATAGAGTTCAAAATCATTTCTTGATTCAAGTCATGTGTAGCTGATAAATTTTAAAATCAAGGTTTATTTATACTTTTCTATATGTGGCATTTGCAAGCAATTATAGCCAATAAACTTTAGAGTGGCAAAAATATTCATCAAAATAGAAATTATTGAGCTTAAGGCTTATATTTCTTAAAAGTCATGACAAAATAAATGAAGTGGATTAATGTTAAAAAAAGAGTGGAGTAGTTTCCAAGCATTGTAAACTTGGTCATCAAGTTTATTTCTCTTTTATCCATCAAGGATTTTAAACATTATAAAAAGGTGAATAGATATGTAATTTTAGTGTGCAAAATACAAAGGTCGAGAAGGTTTTTTTTTTTTTTTTTTGGTTTTTTAAGCATGGGAGTTGATGTTTAAGGGACTTTGAGATTGAATTTTGGACATAAAATATTACAATTATATTCTTTTATTAATTGTTTCTCACAACAAAATAAAAAAAAATACTTCGAGATTTGTAAAATAGACAAGATTTTCTTTCGAGAAGTGACGTGGATTTAGAGGTTATAAATTATTAGAGTTCCCATAGTGAAAAAGCGAGGGAGACACTTTCGTTTCTAATGTTTCGCTCGATATTTGAGCGAACCGATTAGGAAATGGAAAGAGACCATAACTAGCTCGGGCCGACTAGCCGGTGAGTAGTATGGCCAAATCCTCTCGCAAATTATTAATGTTGACTCGCTTTCTTTTTAGTGTATTACTAGTTTTTTCTTTATCCGTATTACCCCGTACTTTGAATAAAATATATAAAATTATTTTAAAAAATTATTTTAATTGATAGTCTATGTCGTGATGTGAATCTATAAAAATATATGAAATCAAAGATAAAAGAAATTATTTATAATTTTTTAATCAAAATTTATATTTAACTATTTCTTATTTGTGTTTTTCATAATTTTTGTATTTAAAAAAGGATTTATTCTTATTAATCCGTGAATTATTAACTAAAAAAAAATAAAGAAATTTTTTTAAAAAAGCTTAGTAATTCATAAGATTGTGTCGAAAAACTAAAGTAACAATTAATAAAAACTTACATAGACTTGAAAAAAGTATATATTTTTTAATTTTTATTTAATGTTGATGAGAATATCGATTTTTGAAAGAATGTGAATTTAATTTTTATATATTTTTCATGAAAGAATGAATAATATTAAAACAAAAAGCTATATTAATTTGAATCATTGAGTAGTTAAGCGAAAACATAATTTTAATTATTTAATTTAAAATATTCAAAAATAAATAAATAAATAATAAATGCTTAGTGTAGTACTAGTTGCATAGTTAATTTTTTTAAAAAACAATGATTCAATATTTTTTTTATATATCATAACTATACTAAATGAATACAAAATTTTCGAGTATAAAACAAAAGACACTATATATATATATATATATATATATAAAGAAGTTAATTTGCAAGGAATGTATTGACTAAATTTGAAATTAATAGACTAAAATAAAAATTATTACAAAATTAATTTTGATAAATTTTGATTGTATAAAGAATAAACAAATAAAACATGTGAATTTTTTTCTTCTTTTTTTCCTCCCCAAATAATTTTTTATTTTTATGCTATACATGGCTAGTCCTTAAATACGAGCCTTATGCGTCGAGTAACCATCTCCTTTTTGTTTTTCACATTTGACTTTCAAATATTAATTAAATAATTTAAGTTTTTTTTCTAAAAAAAAATCAAGAAAAATTAATTGAAAGACATTTTTAATCTAAAAATGTATTTCAAACAAATTATATATATTAATCATGCTACTATAATTTAAAAATTATATAAATATATTTTTCAAAGAAAAAATAATCATGTTCTAAAACTTTATTCCAAAATCCATGCATATAGAAAAATGTATCAAAACCATCGAGTAAATATAACTTTAAATTAATTGAATAAGAATTTGAAAAAAAATAACAAATTAATGTAGTAAATTTTAAATAATAAAAATAATTAATAAAAAATAATAAAACAAAATGAAACCAAATCATAATATAATTGAAGTTTGAAATATATATATATAAGGATCAAAGTATTGCAACAATGCCGTGAAAGTAATAGTGATTAAATAGTATTATGAATAATAAAAATTATTTTATTTTAATGTTTTTTATAATAGCATTTAACGAGGAGGGTTGACAGATGAAGGAAATAGCCAAGTAAAATGAGGAGGGCTGATCGATGAAGGAAAGAGCAGAGCAAACTAAAACAGAACACAAGAAATACAATTTGTACAATAGCATTTAATTTAATGAGGAGGTCTTATCTACTCATGAAGAAAGGAAAAGACCAAATAATAATAATAATAATAATAAACTGAAGAGAAACAAAAGATATGCCTCAAGGGCAAAGACGTAAATCAATAAAGAAAAGAAATAGCAAAAGAGAAATTAAGGAGAAGGGGGCAGAAATCAAGCAGCAAATATGCATTAACGTATAAGATGAAAAAGGAATCTAAAATAAATGGATAAGATGAAAAAAAGACTCCCAACAGTAAAGATGAGTAGGCATGAATAGGGATTTTGTTTCTAAATGCACAGTAAATAAACAATATTTATCCCAGATCTTTTAGTATCTTTGTAACGTCATGTGCTGAGGTTCAAATTGATGAGACATTATAATGTTTTAAGAGTGTTTTTATTTTGTAATTCTTGGACTTTGGGTCTATAATGATACCGTTTTGGTTATGCTTTGTTGGTTTTTTTTCGAATTTAAAATACAGCAAGATATTGTTTAATGCACAGATGCTCTCGTCCTCTCCGAACCTGTACAATAGCACTCCATGCTCACCAGTCATCGCAATTCTATTCAACTTTTTGGGCAATTTTTTGTTACAAAGTATTAAGGAGATAAATCATTGCTCTTACGAAATATATTACAGTATCATTCACAGTTTATGGACATGCCACCTCGTGGAATTATGACGGAAAGCTTAACTACTTGCAAACATTGCTAGTACGTAGAGATAATACGCAAATCCCTTCCTAATAATGAAAGGAAATAAAGAAGGAAAAAAAAAACAAAATCCCTCACCATTAGGGCTTAAATTAGTAAGGTAAACCTTGGGGGATCCTCCTAATGGGACGAAAAAAATACGGCAACGTGGCTTTGGCGGAATGATCAAAATCAGAACGAAGAAGTTCTCGGCGAGCTTCAGAAAATACAGCACAGGTATTCCACACTTCCACTTTGATGTCTTCATCACAAATCTCCACAATGGAGGCATTGACTCATCCATAAACTAGGAACTAAGAACATCAAATAGTATGTTCATCAAGCTCCATCTTCGAGATGTGGAAACTTGCAATCAAGAGTTTGACATGAACTGAATCTCTAATCTAAATCTGCAAAGATTTCACTAAATGAATCAGCATTGCAAGAAACAGCATAGCGTAGAATCTTAAAGATAAGTAGAAAGTAATGTGATGTGATGTGGTAGAGGAAACAATAATGATCATTCTTCTTCCCATGACATTTTATCATCACAGTAGGTTTTACCAAACACATCTAAGTAGAAATATCTACAGAACTTCACACTCCTAAGGTGGATAGGCATCCAAGCAGACTTGATTTCATTTTCCACCTATTGATATACAAATCAGAAGATTCGCATTGCTCCTGTTGCGGTTGGATCAACAAAGATGATTGTGCTTCTAAATGGCAAAGCATCTGGTTTCTTCAAAATCATGTCAGTATTCATGGGATCTACGGCTACTGAAATACCATCACGAGAACATCTATACACTTATTCATAATGCAAAGGATAGTGTGGTTGCTGATGGTTCTATAGTCGAAGAGAGAGCAGTATAAGTGATAAAATACTAAGCCAATCTAAAGCACCCAGTTATGTGCTTAGATGCTTGGTACTAGAATAACTTGGAAGTGAATGCTTAGCCAGTGGGTGAGCGGCCTTATAATCACTTATGGATGAGAATCTAGGAGTGCAAAGGAACTTGAAACGACTCTCAAAAAAAATATAAAAAAAGTAGATAAAAAATCCAAGGTGCATTTTGCTTCTTCCAATTTAGAATCTAGTCTTGTCTATATCTCCTCTCAGCAGACCAGAGGCTAAGAAATTAAATGAAGACTTCAGATATTGACCTCTCATGGTGAACAGGAGAAACTCTAAAAGGAAACATGTGTGTGAAGCAGCTACCATAAATGTTTCTAGAATCCTATTTTGAAGTTTTGAACCTAGAAAAATCAAGTCAGAATTATTAGATGCTTTAGGATTCTCATAAGTTTCACAATAAGCTCATTCAGCTGAATGTTTGATACTTTCTAGAAAAAGTTTCTAATACAAGCTACTTCTGAAGGCTTGCTTTGTATGCTTGTCTTAAAGGAATTGAGATCTCTTGAAAAAAATATGATTTTCAGTTACTGCTACACCAGGACTTCCGAACTACATTGTTCTCTTAGCTAGCAGCCTAGCACTCCCAAAGAATATATCATTTAGAGCAAGGATAAACAATAACTGCAGACTTCCCCAGCAACTCGAGTCATCAAGCACGGCCAGCATTCAAACCTATATTCTTAAGGTCTTAACTGTCAGCTTTTGTTTGGCAATTTCTATCATAATAAGAATTTTAGTCTCACGTTCTGCCATCTAATTTGATGTTCATATATGATACCCAGGAATACCTGTGAATATATTGATATAGCTAGAGAACTACAGAGAGGGTATTTGGTGTAGTCTATAAGTGGTCCCTTGGCTGAATAGACAATCTTCCTGCCCTCCACTCAACTCTCTTGCAGCTCTGAACGTTTGAGGTAACATCATGTAAGAAAACAAATTGCTCACTGCAGATAATCCCTTACAAGTCACTTGACCATCCCTGTTTTATAGTAATTCCAAATGGCATTTGATGCTGTATTACAGAACAGTTTACACAAAGTAGCAGATCTCACTTGTTAAAACACTTAAGTCATGAACCATCAAAGGTCTGTTCAGGTTGTTTCACTAGAAAAAGACAAGAGAGAGGGACAGATGAAGGGAGCAATTGATTGATGAAGTTAAGGTCCTAATTGTAAAAATAAATCCCCCAGGAATCTATAATTCGTAGTTATGCAACTCCTACTCTGTGTCATCTGATCTAGTCTCGCACATTATACAATTTTCTGTATCAAAGAAGTGGAAAAACCAAGAGAAAGATGCATAATACAAAAAAATTACTTACTTAACTTAAGCAGTTCCTGTTATCAACCTTTCCTGTTGATCTAACTTTTTCACCTTTATAATGCCAAAGAGAATTTGGAAACTGAAGAATGCACAAAAGATGGATGCCACAATGGCTGGTACCTATGAAAGATGACACATTTAAACAAATGATTAGTTGAAAATGAAGAAGAAAGATGCAAAATGATGCATAGCAAACATGAATTAGAGCTGGTGGCTTACTCGAATGGAATTGAGATATAAAATTGTTGCAAGGTTTACTAAACTTCCAGCAGCTACAGCCTGTTGATTGGTAAAAAAGGATGTTAAAAAGAGTACATATCCACATCCGGATGCACCAAAACACATTAAATAAAATATTTCTTTCTCTGAGATATATGGCAAACTAACCAAAAAAATACATATTGTGCATACAAGCATGCACCTAGTGTTTCAACTTAAATGAGGTGGCAGGCATGCCAATCCTACAATCCTGGACATGCTAAATGCCATAAATGCAGCGTTCACTGATTTAGATTCTTTTACCATACATACAACAATTCAGTGCTTGTCTGCATGCAGAAGAAGCAATCGTGGTGAAAATGTTGAAGATAATAATCTCGTTCAAGCTTCTTGACAGAAAATCGGAACCAAGATAAATCAAGGTAAATTCTTCTATCATTATTTATAAAAAGTTCTCGACATGACTGGAAAAATGTGTCGTTTCCTGGAACTTGCAAATTTCAATGAGAGAGTAGTCCAAATGCATCAAAACATGACTAGGATATTTAGTGATAAAGAGAAAAATTTAGCATTGCATTTGATGGAACCGACAAGAAAGATAAACCAGAATGTGATGAGTAAGAGTCCATAAAGTCATAAGACAGATAAACTTACACTCCCTACTGTCTTCTGAACAGCCGCAACACGCTGGAATGCCCTCTCAGCCTCCAGAGTTCGAACTCGAAGCTTCAAATCACCTTGCTCCTGCAATGGAGTGTTGATTGCTAAGCAACATGTATTGAAGACTTGGAATCCACAGGCTTACTATGAAGCACTAGAATTAATTAGAAAACTCAAATAAAATACACGAAGGATTCCTGAATCCTACCAATCGTTGGATAGTGTCAGCAAGCTTTTGAACTCTATCAGCCTGTCTAAATAAGTTGTAGAATGCACGAGACTGCCTGTCCCACCTCTTTCTGAAGTCCTGAAACATTTACAGGATTGGATATGAAAAAAGGACTTATTATTATGTCCAATGTACAAGATTGGAGTAGACTAAGATGATCCTACTTTTTATCTTCAAGAGAACTAAATAAATAAATAAAATCTCTACCTTCAAGAGAACTTCAACTCCAGCTTCACGAAACTTTAGCAGCTCAAGTGCATAGCTGAAATATAATGCATGCAGGACAAGTTAGACATATAATTTACATTGCGGAACTAATTGTAGAAATTCCCAAAGGATGTTTAGAAAATTGCAGCAACAGCTAAACCACACTCACGGTTTGGCAATTTCTGTAATATCAAACCGAGGGTCAAGGCCTTTCCCAATGCCATCCAATACTGCAGAGAAAATAGTTTGCCTGTCTAAGGTTAATGTTGTGCATAGCATTGCATAACAATGATCCTACCAAATTCAAGTAATTCACCTGAAAATGCTCTCACAACAAATGTGAAGGTGGCAGGAAAACGGAAAGGTTGATCTGCTGCAATGGATAACAAGTCTTCCCCTGTTAAGAGAACATAAGAGTATGAGTTGCGGTTATCTAATGTTTGCAGAAATCAGGTCAAAGCTACCCAAGTTGCAATATCTTATCCTAAATAGATAATTTGCACAATCAAGTGGGCCACGAAGTTCAATAATAGGATAGGGCAACCCCATACCAAGACTTGAATTTAAGTATTACCGGATTGAGAAATAAACTCAACTCAGCTAAACCTCAATCCAAAACTAGGTGGGGAGGCCACAAGGATCCACATCCTAAGATTGAGAAATAAAAACTGGAAAATAAACAAACAAAGATGACTAGAATGATGCAGTGTTGGTAACTAATAGACACTTATATATGGTATGCATGTATTAACAATAGTTGCTTTCATGCAGATGCCGAAAGAATGTAAAATGCTCTCACCACCTTGCTATTTGGAAACATATTGCACTATAAATTAAATCTAGATGCCAATATATGTAATGGGCATCAACAAAAATTTAGTCAAAAAATGAGAAGCCTCAGATATAGAACCACGCTGCAGGAATTACCTATTGCAGCCAGACGTTGCTTTTTTTCTCCATCTTTTCCTCCTTGCTCAGTGGTTTTTTAAAGCCAAGTTCTGCTGTTGCTATTTCTCTCTCTCTTCTTTGAGCAGCAAGACGCTCTTCAAAACTGCCAAAGTTTGAAATTAGAATTTTGAGGTTAAAATAGGTTGAACAAAGAAACATCTATACATCACTTATTAGATTATCCTAAGGTAGTTTCAACATTCCCACTTTGATTCATTGTGCAACCTATCAAAGTATCAGCCAATTGTCTGGCTTTTCTATATCACAGTATGCATGTTATTCAAAATGAATGCCAGCTTCTCTCCTTGGTCTCTAGTAATGACTCACTTCCTGGCTCTTCTTCATCAGAAAATGCCTCAATCTTAAGAAACTCTCTTTCAATCTTTCAATTCAATCTCAACCTTGGGACCTTGAAATAAGGGCATGATGGAGTAGTTATGCCACCTTCCACCAAATAAGACAATTAGGCATGATGGAGTAGTTATGCCACCTTCCACCAAATAAGACAATTATCTGCCATTTACTCAGATCTCTGATTTGGCCCCATGCCAGTTGAGCAGCTAAACCTCAATAACAGTAAAGGCAGGAGCAGCATTTCAGTTAAGATCTTCTTTCCTTGTTCAATCTGGCTAGAGACTAACCCTTGATCTATCAAAGCCAGCAGTCCAATCCCTTCCTCTGTTGGTCAGTGGAGCCTCTTACCTAAATTATTATTTTCATTGGAATTAGGATAGTACGACAACTTCGAGCAAAATTTCTTCCTATCAAGCACAACTTTCAAATGATCCCTATGAATGTTCTGTTTTGCATCCAAAAATGTGTCCGATTACTAACAGTCTGATCCTTCCTTCACAATATCTATTTTTGATTTTGAGATTATTCCATATGCGACCCAAAGCAGCAGTTGAGGAATTAGTCAAATCTGGCCAATGTCTTATGTTGAACCAATAATAAAGATAGTGATGACAACAAAAGAACGAGAAACAGTTATGCTTTTCTTTCAAAGCACCTCTTGAGGAAGAATTGTGCAGTTCGTCTGACAGCTGTCATGTCTCCAGTAGGCACAAGGACACCCATTTGGATCATTGCCTCAAGGACCTGCGCTAGCATAGAAATTCATCAGACCATGTGAACTGTGACATGTTAAGTTTCTATAATAAGAATAGGGAAACCTTGCCATGACCATGGGCCACCACAATTTAGAGACACAATCACCTTATCCGGATCCTTTTCATAAATTCCATAGAATGCTTCCAGCAACCCTTCTCGAATGTTTGGACTGATACTGCGATATACAAAAACAAGGACAGTCATCATACAAAACTTGATAATGGACTTAGTTAGTATACTAATTGCAGGTAGCCAGCAGAGGATCAGACAGTACCTTCCCATCATGCCAAAATCATAAAAGATCAATCTTCCCCCATTGACATCATCAACAGCAATATTTCCTGGATGCTGCACAGAAAGAAACAAGATCTGGTCAAATACTAGAAGAATTTTAGATGCAAATCATAATACAAAAAGACCACATCTTCCTCGTCTCCAAAATGAAACATGATCATAAGAAGATTTTATGAAGGCTTTGAAACCCTGACTATGAACACATAGCCAAAGCTGTTAGATTGGCACAGACCACAATGTCAAGGGGAAGAATACAAAAACAAAGAATTCAGTTCAAAAGGACAACTTCTTTTATTGGCCTGGAAATTTATTGGCACAACCAGTGAGGAGCATCGCTTCAACACTTAAGGCACACATGTCAAATACAGTTAAACATCCACTTTTGGTCTAATTTACCGCTCTCTCTTCCATTAGGCTTCAGCTGAATTTCAATGGCCTCTCCTTGTCCCACTTTCTCTGAGAATAGAGATTGAAATCAATTTCTAATTCTAGATATCCCTGACCTCCATATTTTGAATACAGACTGGTCTTGACATAGAAAGCACTACACCAAAACCAGATATGTTTCATGATTCAACTGGAACTATCATCCATATTCCATACAGCATCATTTTGAAAAAGAATGATGCTCTTATTTTGATTTAAAGGAAAAAATGCATAGCAGAAGAAACTGTGTCATATGCAAGGGACTCTAAATTCCTATCAACATCAAGGTAACCTTTAATACACTGGAGAGTCAGAAAATTAAAACACTCCCTCTTCAGATGATTAATCAAGCATCACCTGCTGGAATTTTGAAACAATAATAAATCGGATTGCTATTTAAATTTTATTGAGAAAATTGCAATTTCAGGTCAGTGCATGTAGATCACAACTCAAGATGAGAGGCATATGGGTAATCATGCCTTCATTAAAGGAAACTAAAACCCTTGTGTTACGATCAACAGTTACAGTTCATTGACTTCCACTATAGGCGATAGTGCTGTTATGTGACTTGCAAGTGTATTAGGGATAATAAATACGTGTTAAAGTAGTAAGGTTACTTGTTAAGTAAATTGTTACCAAGCCACATATGTGTCTAACATTCATAACTACCTTGCATAGCTGCTAGTTTGTTATTTCCAATATTAACATTAGTTAGTTAATTGTTTCATTTATATAGCTGAAGAAATCATAAGAAAAGACACGTATGAAGGTTGATCTTTCTATTGAAACTCAATAGACAAATGTTCTCTCTTTCTATTTCTTGCTTTTGTCTTCTCTTTCCAAAATCTCTAGGGTTACTTGTTAGGAATCTATTGCTGGATCTTAACAATTGGTATCAGAGCTTGGCTACCATAACAATTCAACACTCAATCATGGTGTATAATAATAGGATGCGAACTGTGGAGGAGCAAAACAAGAAGCACGATGAACAACTCCAAGGTCTTCAGCAGAAATTTCAAGAAAACATAGAAGCTATCAAGAAACAAATGGAGGAGCAAACGCAACAAACACAGCTGCAATTGGAAGCTTTAATGGCGACAGTCAAGTTAACTTTGGTGGAGAAAGGCAAAAGGATCCTCTTCAAGTTCCTCTCAAGAACTGAACCATGTAAACAAACCAATACCCCCTAAGGTATCATGGTGAATCAATTCTTTCACCTGAATTCATGAAGTCTGGTTACAATGCTTCTATGCCTTGGGTAGAATTGCAAATGTTTAGTGGGGAAGAAGATGAATTAGGTGAGAAAAGTGAAGTTGATGTTGAAGGAAAGGGAAAGGTGAAATTTATAGAGAATGAGGAAGAAGGTGAGGAGAATAAGGAAAGTGAAGGGGTTGCTAAAAAGAAGGCTAGGAAAAAGGGAATTAAATTGAAGAATGAGGAGGTGGAGACCAAGGAAGGAAGGAGAATGATTGTAATGTGGAAGAGAATGGAGGTCCATTAAAGAGGAGGTTAAGGAGAATTGATAAAAAGGTGAACTATGCTAAGATCGATATTACACTAAATAAGGTTGTACTTTGGGAGAAACATACGAAGATGAGAAAAAAGAATGGAGTCTCTAAGAGTCATAGATTGAAAAGTGAGAAAAACAGTCATGTAAGTGAATGCAAATGATGATCCAAAAGGAATTTGCTTTGCTGTTGTTCTTGGTTTACAGATTAGTGATGATGCAGGATTGAAGAGTGTTGTGGACAACGTGAAGTCGAAGGTTAAACGCACAAATTGGGTTACGAATTGGGTTGTGTTGCATTTGGTGGCTTCATCTTCAACACCTAAGGTAGATACTCAATTTGCATCTAAAGTTCTTGTTTCTGGCATGCAAAGACTTGGTGCTAAGATTGTTAAAAACATTGTTCTTGCTAGTGTCAAGTCGGTTACATTGCATGATGAAGGGGTAATGAAGCTATGGGATTTGTCAAGCAATTTTTTTTCCTCGTAAAATGGCAAGAACATAGCCCTTGCTTCCATTCAGAAGTTGCAGGAACTCAACAACGCAATGACTTTAAATCCAGAATTGACAAAAGAACATCTTTCCAAGTTCCAGGCTACTGTGTTTACTGACGCTAGAGAAAGTCGTTGAGTTGAAGGACTATTGTCATGATCATAAGCCTTGTATCTCTTTCATCAAGGCTGAAGTAAGAGGCCCTTTTGGTTCCATTTTTTGTGACTTCGGGCCCGAATTCACTATCTTTGATGTTGACGGAGAGGAACCAAACACTGGTTATTGCATCCATCAACAATGACAACCCTGCATTAGTGTGATGCGTTGATGATGAAAGGGTTGAGTTTCAAGATGGGGATCTTGTTGTTTTCTTTGAAGTTAAGGGAATGACAAAAGTAAATGATGGAAAACCAAGAAAGATTAAAAAAGCCGCCTCTCAGTCACAACTAACAATCCAGAGGAGTCGAACTCTCAGTCATCAGATTCTTTAGATTACTTGTTTGATGATAGTAGGGCAAACAATCTTCAAAGTATTCAACAGTTACTGAAGTAAAAGAGGAGCCTAAAGTTGAAGAAGTTGGATGTGTTCAAGCTGATATTTCTGTCCTTATGATGTCCGAAAATTCTTTGATGGAGGCTGAAATTTCTGCACATCCGAAGCATAGGAAGGAAAGGAACGTTCATCAAGTGGATAGCTTTAAGTTTCTTGACAGCAACCTTTTGACTGATGATCCAAGGGGTTGCATTTTAGCCCATGCTTCAGGTTCAGGAAAGACATTCATGGTCATCAATTCTATACAAAGCTTCCTAGCCAAAAATCCTGATGTCAGACCATTGGTCATACTACCTGAAGGAATCTTAGCTAACTTAAAGAAGGAAATTACAATATGGCAAGTTGAGGTTATTCCATCGTATGATTTTTGCTTATCGTCTTGTGCCTTTTATGTTAACTTTGATCCGAGAGGCTTTAACTTGAGTGAATTTGTAGATTTTAACCTTGAGGACAAGATTTTTTAAGGAGAAGGTATTGTTAGATCAAACTTGGCAAAGAAAGCAATAAAGAAGAGAAGGTAGTGACATAATAGGCTATAGATCAAAGGAGGATTTGATGCATGAGGTGGCAAGAATAAACATGAAAATGTGATGTGGAGAATGATTAGCAATGTCAGTTAACTAATAAGGCTGACGTGGAGAAGAAAAAGTTAGCTATGACAGTTAACTACAGTTGCAGCAGAAAAGCTGAAGCTGCTGCAGCAATGAAGCATGACCCTTACAACTGGCTTAACTGAATTAGTTAGTTATTAGGAATTAATTACTAGTAGTTAGACTATAAATAGAGAAGAAAATGAGGAAAGACTTATCTTAGATCAGTTGGTTAAAAATCTCTCTTCTCTATTTCTTTCTAATCTCTCCTCTCTATCAAATAATTCTTGTATTCACTTGTTTGTATTCAAACTCTTTGCATTTCATTTAATAAAGTCACTGATTCATCTTGATTCTTCTTGCTGGAAAGTTTAAATCACATCAGAAAGTAACCGATTATTTTGTATCATCATCAGGGTGCATTCCCAGCCCTTGTTATGGCGTGAAAGGAGATTTCAAGATCCATGATGGGTTTGGTTCCTCATCAAAGTCGTTTACCAACAACCAAAACAAACGTTTACACTAGTATCCAATAGAGAAAGATTCATCATAATTAAAACGAAGTCCCTTTGCTCGCCTCTTCGCCATTTCTGCTCTTGATAACTTCTTAATGACATGCGTTTATGTACTTCCCGTGTAGAAAACCATGGCCAAACTTTCTCCCACTTGTTTTGATTCATGATTGAGAGTGAAGGCGTTGAACCTGTCATTTTTGGGGAAACCAGTTAGAAGGAGTGCTTCTCACTCCAATTCCATTGGAGAGTTGCAATTTTCTATCAAAAGTCCGAGCTCAATTCATAGCTGCAACTAGATTAGGGGGTCATTGCATCTCAACATCCATCCATGATGCCTCTGTAAGTCCTGCAGTAAACAAATCAACTTGCTGATCACCCCTGACAAAAATAACCCTAGCTAGGAGTGTCTGGAATTGACTGATATTTCCTTTACTGTGCTGGATTGTTTCAAATTAGCTAGCTCCACTAATGGGTTACCGCTCAATGGAAGGCCAAATCTCAAAGAATAATAGGATCTGAATTGATCCTAAGTGACATTCGGCTCTTTCTGTTCTAACCAAAAGAACTACAGTTGAGCCTCACCCGTCATATGAAAAGCAGCTAAGCCCACCTTATCTCCCTCTTCTGTTCATTAGTTTAAAAAGAATTGTTCACGGCGATAAAATCATCCCAAAGGGTCCTCCATACCACTATAAGGAGGAAATTCTAACCTAGAATATTCGAGAACCACGGTGCTGCTAGTGCATTCCTCGAATGGCACTACTGCTGGCCATGATGTCAAATCACTGTTGCTTCTATATCGTATCTCTCCTTCGGCTGCCTTGCCCTTGTCCAACGATTGCAACTCCAGCAACCTATGAATAGCCTTCATACCTGCCCTCAATTCCTGACCAACCATGTCTGTCAAGTGGCATTCCAATTCTTGTACCCTGGTTGATAGTTGTTCGTAATCACCCATGACGATCGACTTTGATACCAAATTGTTATGGTCCCAAGTTAAGGATCTCGTTAAGGGTTGATTAACGAAGAAATCAATTAGCTTTCCCTTGTTCACATTTCGATTCTTCCGTGAAGAACCTATTATGAACAGATAACAATGGATGTTTTGTTTTAGAGACCACCAACTCATCCAGGTTTTTCTTGATTGAATTATTTGATACCTTTATTCAAAAAGCATCCACTGTTTGTATAGTAGAGGCGGCTGAAAAATAAAGACAACCCTAATAGGCGATTGCCTAGATAGACTCAGACTAATATAGAAAGTCTTAATTAAAATATCACACCAATTAGGACTCTCATAACCTTTTCCTAATCTGACTTGATAAATAATAAATAAAAGCAATAAGTAAATATCCGCAATTTCTTAGTTTCTCTTCTTGCACTGCTACCTTCTTCTATACCACTAATCCACAACGATTTCTCAAAGTTTGATCGCCCACCTCTCCTACACTAGGCATTTCAAGCACCAGACAAGTTTGTGTTTGCAATGGGTCACTTCCCTATTGCTGGTTCAGAAGAGGATGCTCAGAAGCTTGTATATCTAGTCAGTCTCATAAATGAAAACTCGAGATGCAAGATTGGAGGACATTACTCCAAAACTTTGATGGCACTTTGCCTTAGGTTCCAGGGCTGGACTGAATCCTATAGCTGCTATGTTTGGTGGTATACGGGGGCAAGAGGTTGTCAAAGCATGCTCTGTTCTTGGATCCAATCTTCAGAAGAAACTGGAGGATGCTTTGAAAGTGTTGCTAGAGCACTTTGCAAATCCTAATGCCGAAACAGAAGATGGTGTACCTCCATTATTATCAGTTGTAACAGCTGGTTCATTAGCATGCCTACAGTTGTGGCTCAGGTTGGTGTTGATGTGAATGTTACAGCTGGTGGAGCAACTCCACTGCACATTGATGTTGACATTGGGAGGTCATTGAGGAATTGGAACAACAATTTCTAGATTTTAAGTTCGATCCTTGAGGACAAGGATTTTTCAAGGTGAGGGAAGGGGTATTGTTACGATCAACAATAACAGTTCATTGACTTCCACCATAGGTGGCTAGTGCTATTATGTGACTTGCAAATGTATTGGGGATAATAAACACATGTTAAAGAGGTAAGGTTGGCTGTTAAGTAAGTTGTTAGCAAGCCATGCTTGTCTAACATTCATAACTAACTTGCATAGCTGTTAGTTTGTTATTTCCAGTATTAACATTAGTTAGTTGTTTCGTTTACAGAGCTGAATAAATCATAGGAGAGGGCTTGTATGAAGATTGATCTTTCTATTGAAACTCAATAGACGAATATTCTCTCTCTCTCTAGTTCTTTCTTTTCTCTTCTCTTTCCCAAAGTCTAGGGCTACTTGTTAGGAATCCATTGCTGGATCTTAACACCTTGCACCTTCAGCATCTCTACCAGAATTTTCTAAATCTTATATATATATACACACTTATAAGGTCAGCCTTCCAGTAAAGGCCTTACACGCCTGGAACTACCTTCTGTGTATGTCCATATGAAAGTACAATAAGCTCAGAAGTCATGTTCACTTTCTCAAACAATTTTGTAACAATGAGAATCCTAAATAGCAAATATTTCGAGTACCACCAAAAACTGAAAGTGGCAATAAGACTCACAGGGTCAGCATGGAAGAATCCATGAGATAGAATTTGTTCCAAATAAGATTCAACTGCATATCTGCCCAATCTGCAGGACATGATAAAAGATAACAGTTATTTCAGCTGACAATAAAGTAATTTTTTTACCATACTGAATTTGACAGTACAAGCTTTGAAAGCATAAGAATTAAAGGTAGCATGTTAACATGATTTCACCAGGCTTAATAGCAGGAGATTATCTTAACCTTTGGCGATCAACACCCAATTGATCTAAAGCTTGAATTTTGTTTATTTTGATCCCTGGGACATATTCCATTGTCAGAACCTACATTCAGATAAATAAATAAAGGAGCAAGAGGTTACAAATAACTTTAGAAATAGCCTTTTTAAAAGAAAAAAAATAAGTGATCACGTGCTTAAGTTCATGATTACTAATACAAACCTGTGGCGTGGTGTGTTCCCAATAAATTGTTGGGACTTTTACATAATCCATTGCTTTGAAATTACTTGCAAACAGTTCTGCATTAGCAGCTTCCTTAGTATAATCAATCTCCTGAAAATTTCAATTATTATTGGCCGTTGCAATCATAATATAGCTATCTGAAATTGAATTGGAATACAGCTCCATAATAATTTAGGTTCGTGGCCCCTTAGGCTCTAAGAACTGCAAGTTAAATCACACTTAATGTTAAAAAAATAAATTTACAATTTTATTGCATTTCTTTAACGTACAGAAATTATTCTAAAAAGGCATTTCAAGTCTTTTTTACGTGACCGCATATGTTAAATCTCTGCAATATCTTTGCTTCAAAAGTTTGGTACATTTCAAACCCATCAGCACTTCTTTGGTGCCAAATTACCAATCAGCTTGAAGTCTTCCCTGTATGTCTTGTTGTTTTGCACCAACCGTGTGCAACTGCCTACGTAATATTCCAGTCAAGATATTCCTATAGATTCCAATAACTAAAAGTTGCACTCAGTAATGCCTTTCTGGCTTTATCTAGTGTAAAAGCAACTGAGAAAATCTTGTTTGCTATGTTCCGTTAGAGCTCATTTATGTGGTTAAAAACTTAAATCATAGGTTGCCATGTCTTTGATCACTCATTTCTTGAGGCCTTCCCTGTTATCTTCCTACGCATCCATGTCATGCATCCAGACTTTAACTAGACTAAAGATTGAGAAAATTATGTTTCTTCAAGCATGACCATCCTAACACCCATTTCATTTGCAACTTTACCATACCCCTGTATTTAATTACAACCACAACCAGCATTTGTTGAGGTCTTCCCTACTGTCTTCCTACTCATCCATGTCCCACATCGAGATTTCAACTCCACTAAGATGGTGAGGAAGTTTTTTCATGATGCATGACCATCCAAGTGCTCATTTTGTTTGCAACTTTATCATTATAAGAAAATTCATCAAAAACCTCAAATGAGTGAACTTAGAACACCAACTTAAGGGAAAAACATTAATTATTGCAACGAGCAAAACTTTGACTTGGGAAATTGAAGAGAGTAAAAGAGTAAATGCCATTTGCATTTTGCTAAGCAATCAGGAAGATGACGCCATAAAGGGAATATTGCTACCTCATACAAGACGCTCGCACATTCATCATATATTGCAACCCAGTCCCTCTTTGCACCATCTGACTTTGGGTCAACCTTTTGAAGATATTCAGCTATTACCTGGAAACAATAAGCAACTTGTCCACACTCCTTACATCTCAAAACTTTTAAACCCTCATGGCCTCACCAAAAGTGAAGCATGTAAATAAATAATTTCTAAAGTATTTGGGAAACTAACCCTCAGGTTTTTTAGGTCAATGTCAAAAAGATCCTTGAGACCAGGTCTTTGGACTTTAATTACAACTTCCTGTCCCTTCAATCTTGCACGGTGAACTTGACCTACATTAAGAAACAAAGGGTGAAAAAAAGGAAAAGAAAGAAATTGAAATGTTAGATACTTCTTTCTTGTCATCCAATGCATCACACAAATGGTCAATGAATGTCAATCAGCAAATTGCCAGAGTTTCCCGATAAAAATTAAAAAATAAATAAAAAAGAAAGAATAAGAAAGAAAGATTACCAAGACTTGCAGCAGCTATGGGTTCGTAGTCAAACCGATCAAAGATATCATCCACTGGAGCTCCAAGCTCTTCCTCAACTATAGAAACAGCAGTGTCTGATGGGAATGGAGGAACTTGATCCTGCAAGAATACATCAATTTAGATGATCCCAAACAAATCACGAACTCCATAGGAGGAAAAGGTAGACTATAGAAGAAAATTGACCCAACTAAAAATATATACATACAATGAGAAGCCTTTTCAGTAGATATTGTATGAAAGAATCTAGACCTGAAGTTCAGACAATTGATCAACATATTCTTGAGCAAGAATGTCCACTCTTGTGGAGAACTGCTGGCCAATTTTTATGAACGTTGGACCTAGTCTTAATATGCTTTCCTTTAACCACTTGGCAAGAGCCTTCCTCCTCACAACTTTTTTCTCCTCTGTCATTCCTCCTGCACACATACGTTTTATAATTAGACAGACCAGCAGGGAAGGAAAGAAGGAAAAGCTTAGCAAGATAAATCTTGAGGTCAGTCATCCTGATAAATTAACAATATCCATGCTTAAAATCATGGGTTATTGAGAACTCCAGGCACCCAAATCAGACCTGAAGTATAAATAGCAAGAGCAACAAAATGCCAAAACTACACAATGATGATTCAAAGTTTAAATCAAATTTCTTTTCCATTCAGCCAATACCAATCAATTAGAAATCACTGACCTCGATAAGAGAATTTCTGGTTGTTCAACCATGCCTTGAAGATAAACGTTAAAACAAATCCCCATATTTCCAATGTCCTTTGTATTGTTGAGTAGGTCTTGAATCTACTCCATCGCCCACCAGGTGCAACAGAAACCTGCAAGACCCATGTATTGTCATACAAAAAGTAGAGTGTTTCAGAACCAAGATTCCATGGGATTTGGACATGTGCTCAGACAAGATGTGAGAGCACAATAATGAAGCCTGAAATAAACAGGGGAATATGTTATTGAGGTAATTTTATCCAGCTAACTTTCCATGACCTTAAGTAAGAGCATACAGGACAAGGTACATGCAAAGAAAACATAACTTGAAACAAAAAGCTTGAAATCTTGGTCAACTAAAGTTTCTGTGTCATTCTCATATCACAAAGTCTCATATCTTTCGTAAGCACTAACCACATCCCCTGCCACCACCGTTGCTAGCTAGCTCAACTTTATTCTCCGATGCTTGACTTAAAATCCTATAATATATCAATCTGCCAATAAACAGCCGACTAGTGGGGCACATTTCCTAAAATGATCATCAATCTCTACTCCTCCGGTAATCCAACCATACTTGTCTCCTGTTATATCTCTGATACAAAGATTCTAAAATACGAACCAGGCATTCAACTACGACAAACTAGTCGCACAGCAAGCATAATTACAATTTTACAACACATATTGATTGTCAATTATTTTTCCTTTTTCCCTGTAAATTAAGAGATCAGTGGTGCCTGCTCTTCCCTCTTAGGTACGAACCAGACTTTAAAACAGATTGGTTAGTACAACGCGACGTAAGAAGTTAAACTAGTTATCACTCATCGGTTCTTCCTTTACTAAACGCAAATGAAACACCTAAATTCTAATACCCATTTCTTTCCTATCCAACAAAATGATCAAGCACTTCTTTTAAATGATCAATAGAAGAAATAAAACCTCAATTTGTTGTTGACCAGCTCGACTAAACCAAGCCTCTTCTTTCCCAATTTCCTCAATCCTCTTCTTCCTTCCATCCTCCTTCACCCCTTCCTTTTCCTCCTCCCCGACAATCTCTGCCGCCGCCGTTGCCGACACACCATTTCCATTCACATAATTCACCAAACTCCCATTATTAGTCTCCCCCTCCTCGACACTCCCCACTCCGCCATTTACATACCTCTCAACTGATCCATTCACTCTTCCGTTTCCATTTCCATTCAGTTCCTTCAAAATTTCTCGCTCTCTCTCCTCGATCACTGCAGTATCCTCCTTCAAAGCTCGAACTACTGGAGTTCGAATAGGAAGATTGAATTTAAGCTTTTTACTGGAAAAGTTAAGTTTAGAGAGACAAAGTAGGTCGTGGTGATGGTGGTGATGTTTTGGAGTTCTGGTTTTTGGAGAAAGAAAGGTGAGCTCTGGTACAGGTAAAGAAGAAGCCATGAATGGAGATATTGATTTTCTTATTTCAAATCAGAACCTAATCTTCATTTTTTCTCTTTTTTCCCTTAGAGAAAGAAAAAGGAGAGAGAGTGTGTGTTTTTGGAGAATTTGTGGTGTGAGAGTGAAGTAGAGGAGAAGTTGAAGAAGGAGAAGAAGGAGACAGAGAATGCGTACTTAAATCCAATAAATTATAATGATAATAATAATTTAAGAAACTACAAATCAGTCTCTTAATTGTACATGTAGTTCAATTGGATCCTAAAATTGAGCAATATTCTCCTAAATCATATGCAACCACAGTTGTAGAGGTCAAAAGCATGTAATAAAATTTAGGGTCGATGCATTTTTTAGTGTCTAAATTAGTATATTGCTTGGTAATAAAATTATATCGTATTTGTAAGTTTTTGCAAATGAAAATCTAATGGTTAAATTATGAGCATTTTAGTTGAATTTAGTGATGAAAATAAAGTATAAAATGGATATACAAGAAATATCAATAAAAATACAATAAACAATAAAAATTGAGATAAAACATGAATATAATTTATTTGATTTTTTTCTTTTTTAGGGATAAAAATGACATTATGAATTCTTGAATACGATATCAAATTTTAAAATATTATTTTAAGTTCGTGAAATTGCAATGGAGATGAGCAATTTGGTTGGCTACAATTGATTAAAAATAATATTTGACTAAATGCATATATATTATGATTAAAATCTGTTTTATATTTAGTTAAATCTTGTATGGTAACATAAATATTCGTTGATTTTTATGTTTTTAGAATATATTAATGTTGCATTTATATTAGTGCGTAGAAGATGTTGTATGTATTCCGAAAATTCATGAAAAGTTACAATCTCCACCGCAAAGATGTTGTATGTTTGTGTTTAAATTTGTGATCTTTACTTTATTGTTTTTGTTTTTATCATCCCAAGGAATTTTAATTGATGAATTACAACTTATAATTTTAAAAAAATGTCAAATAAATATAATTTATGTAAGCAAAATAACCTAAATTTCTTTAATGAAGCAATTTAAGTAATAATAACTTAAGTTTATTTGGTTGTTATATAATAAAAGAGGATTATCCTTCATTGTATATCTCTAGATTCTTGAATTTTTTATAAAAATAAAAAATAAAAATAATTCATTGGATGCCAATTGTGATCGAGATTGAAAATTGTGGTGTTAGAGTTGTCACTTGCAAACTATATTTATAATTTTGGAGAGGAATGTTGAGGAAAATCAAATAGTAAAGGTGATAGTATTGAGCAATTCTGAACTTTTAATACCTAAATTAAAGTATCTATACAGTAAGATGGTGGTTTCGTAGTTTTCCCTGAAGTTTGGAAATCATGCAGAGACAAAAAGAGAGGGAAAGGGGTGGAGGAGGGGAGGACACGTGGCAAGGGAAAAGATTAGAGTGGGGAGTTTGCGGGGTTCTTATTGGGTGAGAGAGTACTGAGAATTTGGTTTTAAAGCCACAAAAATATAATTTTGGCTTTGTTGGATGTTTTTGGACGCTTTTTGGCCTACGTGTCTTTTGTTAGTGATTTTTCTTTTTTTTTTTTTTTTTTTTTTGTTTGACAAGCAATAATCTAGGGACTGGGGGTGCCCAAAAAAATATCTGGCCGGCCTTCATCTAGTTCGGCAAAGGTACTACGTCCCAATTTTGTGGATGACAAGCTTTGTTTTTTTCTTTTTCTACCATAGAAACTGTCACTCTTTGGATCCAAGATAATATGTTTCTTGTGGGGTTGGAAAAGCAACTTTAGTTTAGCAATATTGCGTTTGTTTGGAAAAAAGAAATTCAAGAAAATTTTTTTTTTCGTTTAAAAAAAAATTAACGAAAAATAATAGAGTATTTTTGAGAAAATGTTTTTCTAGTTAAAAAAGAAAAAATATTTTCCTTCTCACGAGTTGTCTAGCTTTTATGTTACTTATCTCTCTCTCGATATATTTTAACAACTTTTTTCTATCTTCTTTGTTTTAAAAAAAAATATCAAATTAATTTTTAATAATTCCTTATCAATTATTTTAATTATTTAATTATTTTCTCTCTATTTCTACTAATATTTGATTTTTTTGATTTATAGATACACTAAATATTCTTAAAAACCATTTTTACACCTTAAAATTATTTTTATAATAAATATTTTAATAATTTATCTCTATTTTTTTACTATTATCTCAAACATCACCTAAACTATACCTAAATGATTGGAAATGATTATTAAAAAACTGTAATTTTTTATTAAAAAAATTAAAATTAATTAATTCATTAATAAATACATTATTTTTTCAACACTTGTTCATTTGCAACTAAATCAATAATTTGTAATTTTAATTAGTTATAAAATTTTATTGGTAATTGTAGTGAATAATTGGTTACAAATTATTCCAACATTAATTTTTTGAAACCAAATGAATAATTATCTACAAATAATAACTAATAATTTATAAAACTATTTTTATACTAAATTATCGAGTTCAATTTAAAAAAAAATTCTTAATTGAGTTACCAAAATAATAATGCTAGGATTACTTAGAATTTTTTTTTTTTTTACTAAATGTGAATATTGAGTTGATTTTGTCCCAAGTAATTTTGATGAGTTGGTTTGATGGTTAAAAAAGTATATTTTTTAATTAAAATTTTAGAGTCGGTATTTATGAAAATTTATTAAATTTTTCTAAATGTATCTTATATTGTGAAATTATGAATATGTCTTTTTGAAGTTTCTCAAAACTTGTTGATGTAACAATCACATATTGTTTTTATATATTTAATTTACGTATCAAACAAATGCTAGAATATATTTTTCAGCGAGTTTTTTTCATATAATTACCAAACACCAAAAAATATTTTTTTGAAAAATAATTTTCTGAAAAATAGCTTTTTTAGGAATTGATTTTCCTATCGAAGTTATTTTTTGCCAAACAAATGGAGCCTAAATGAAAATTATAATGAAAATAATTCTAAATATAAAAATAAAAACCTCCATGAAAACTTATTAAAAGGTTTCTAAAGAACAAGATAAGGCAATGAGTTCTAAAAGTACAATAATTAGAATCGATCCGCATTAGAAATTTAAAAATAAATTATTCTATGTCTTGACTCAATTGTTAGCCTATTACAAAAGATGTGGGGATAAGATTGTTCACCAACTCGTTTATCTTCACACAAAACACTATGGACTTAGATTATTTACATTGTGCTCTTTTTTGCAGCTCCTCTTGATCGTCCCTTCTATTCTCTCGCTACTCTATTTGCCGTTTGTTTTTCTTCTCAATATAAGCTCTTTGGTTGTCTCGTTTAATTTTGAGTTTGTCATTTGATGGTGTTATTAGCTTACATTTCGCCCTCTCCTTTTGATTTTCTTTTGCTTCTTCTATAACCAACAAAGCCTAACCAAACAGGACCAAAAAAAAAAAAAAAAGGAAAATCAAGAAGGCCCTTAGAGGTAATGGAATGAAAAAGAACCATAAGAGGGAAAAAAAACTCATGGGGCCTAAGATGTTACAATCGACTCATGAAAAACAAAGCAAAAGGATTTTTAGAGGAAAAAAAGAAAGAAAGAAAGAAATCATAAAAGAGTATCACAATTGTAAAGCATCTAATATTGGCTGAAAAACACCAACAAACAACAAAAAAGGACATTCAACCAATAAGAGAGACGATGAGAAAGCTAAGAAAGAGAAGAACAATGACCAAGTGCGTGTGTCCGAGTGAAATGTTCTAAGGGAAAAAAATAAAAGGAAAAAAATCATAAAAGAGCATCACAACCATATAACATTAAATGCTACTCGAGCAACACCGGAAAAAGATGAAAAGGGACATTCAACAAGGGAATGAAGATGCAAAAATAGAGGCACAAACATAAGCCCACACCACCACCTAATGGCAAAAAAGCAATTAAATATAGAATCAAAGGGCATTGATTAAGGATAGAGAACAAAGCAATGAAGGGATAAAAAAGAAAAATATAATGGCAAGGGCATTGATTGAGGACATAAAACAAAGCAAGGAAAGGAGAATATATATATATATATATAATGGAAAAGGGGCAAAGATGAACGAGCAGATGAAGAAACATGGAGGCATCATATAAGAAGGATGGCGAAAAGGCCATGAGACCAAAACATTGGTCTTTTGCCTTTATTAAGTTACATTTCTACCCTCTTTTCTTAGTTTTCTTTAAGTCTTTCTTTCGTTCATTTCTTCTCTTTGGGTGGTCATCACGAGCATTAAATGCTTTACTATCATAGTCCTTCAAAATTAATTGATTTGCATTTTATTTTCCTTGTCTTACCTCAACTTACAAGAACTCATGAGTGCCTCTCAAATTTGACTACCCACTAACTATTTTCAGTTTTTAGTTATTGTCCTTTTTTTCTTTCGTTTATGGTGCCTTTTTTGTTTGTATTTTCTCATCTAGTATGTTCTTTTTCATTCATGGTTATGATGTGAGGGTGCTTGGCATTTCGAAATTATTTATTCTTATTGACTCGATGTCAAATTTGCTCTTCTTTTATTTTATTCTTCACATGTTCTTTCATCTTTGGAATTGGTTTTTTTATTCATCATGCCTCTTCATGATTTTTTGGGATGCCTCGCCTTTTGGTCCGCTTCTTTTATTACTTTTCTAGTTCAATTGTAACCAAATAAGTCTTTTATTCATATCTAATCCGATTATTTTTCCTTTTTATTTATTTAAATATTTTTCTTTCATCTACTCGATTTTTTTTTAAGAACGGGGGTAGTACCCTAGTAATTTTATTGATATGGTAAAAAAAAATAGTATATGGGGGACAATCCACCCTTACCCAATAAACTATGGGGACAAGAAAACCTTACCCCTAATATCGGGATGATACCCTATAATTAAACAAACCAATTTTATCCCGTCTACTAGCAATCTTTACCATTAAAGGTAACCGGCCAAAACTACTATAAATTTCCCCTAACTCTTGTTAAACCGCCTCATTAGCCAACCTA